ACAGAAGGGGCCCTCGCGGGGATCACCGCCCACAAGGATAGCGTGCTTTTCGGAGATCGATGTTGCACGTTATCTTTCCCACGCCAGCCGTTCAGGTTTGAGGGCGTCCTTCGGTATTAGTGCCCTCCCAACTGCATCTTGAGGGTGGGCGCGGGAGGAGAAGCGGGAAGGGAAGAAGGCGGAGTGACGAAGGAGGGATGGGGTAGGAGGAGGATTAGAGTACGCCCAGGATACCTGTAGTACGCTCTCCCGTCCCAAATCGTCTCTTCAACAAGTCTCTACATGCATTCCATTCGCTGCGCGAGTGCCCCCATGGAAAGACGGACGCCCCGTGGGTCTGTCATTCAGGAGAGAACGGGATCTATCCTGCACTCGTCTCGCTGTGACGCGCGCGCAGAAATTGTCCAGGGAAATGCATGTCAAAACAGGATGTGCCTTCAATCCGTGTGGCAATTGCGTATTTGTACAGTTGCCGTCATTACTTGCTGAAGGCTAGGCTCAATAAGCGATAGTCCCATTATGAACAAGGCGCTGCCTTCCTTCGTGGGCATTAGTTTGAGGAGGTGTCAAGCGAGAGCCCAAGTTTGAAAAGCAACCGAGTGCTTCCTGATGGCTGTCGGAAGCTTGTATGATCAATGTGTGTGTGCGTGTTGCACAAAGGTGAATTTGGCAGTTAGCACATTTCCCGTTTATCCTTGAGGCCGTTAGAAGCATTTATGACGAAATGGTGTTGCGCGAACGCGAGAGCGACATTTTGAAATTTGTTCGCATTGCAGCGGTCGGAACCATGGAAGGCGAATGTGCGCGGCGCTCAGGCGAGAGCCACGTTTTGGAAGCGATCCCCCCGTCCATTTTGGCAACAGACAGAAACTTGTTAGACGAGGGTACTCCAGATTTCGTAATAAAGGGAGGGGGGTCTCATTTCGGGGGGGGGTCTCTTCCAGGCTATCTTGGAGGGCCTGGGGGGGTCTGGGGACGATGTTTTGGAGGGTTCTCCCACGGGGGGGGGGTCTGAAATGGCTTGTCATGGAGGGTCCAGACCCCCTCCCTTTTATTACGAAATCTGGAGTACGCAGCGCTGTGGCGGGAGCCACACTCTGAAACCGACCCGCCCTCCGTCCGTATCACCGTTGGACGTTTTTTAAGCTCCACGGTCACAGTGGCGAAAGAGCTTCAAGCGGCACGCTTGGCCCGCCCTAGTGATGCGACCTAGTGGTGCGACCCGCCGCTTCGGCCCGGTGGGTGTCCCCCACTGTGCCTCAGGGGTTCGCCCGCGGCGGCCGTGGAGGCCATGTCGGGTGACCTGTCGGACAGGCAACTCGGAGGCTCCCCCCCCACGGGCCGACCCTCTGCGTTGTCCGCGGCTGGCATCGGTGGGCCTCTCCGCAGCAGGACGGCACTGGTGCTCGGGCAGTCGCTTGTGTCCACCGGCACTGGGTGTGTGTGTGCCCGAAGGCCTCGCTTTGAGTGTTGCAGCCTGGTACAGTCCGCGTTTCACGCATCGTCGCATCCACCCCGGGCCTTTCGACGCAGGCGCCGGACTCGTTGCGATGGGTGCCGCCGGCCCCCTCAACTCAGTGGTGGAGTTCGAGGGCTGCGCGCTGAGTGGTTCAGCCTTTCGCGTCTTTTGCCTCTTGTTTTCCACCGCCGACAGCTTGTCTCCCGGGGTCGTGCTTCTTAGCTAGCCGGGTTGGCTGCTTGGAGTTTGGCGCCGCACGGGCGACTCACTCCGTTGTACTCGCACCTGCGGCCGCTTGTGCACTTTGGTATTCTGGGCGGCGCCTAGGTGCGTCTGCTGGTGAATGCGGAGCATTTTGTTCAGTGCATGTGCAACTGCACGCTTGGTGTGCAGGTGCGATCCGGCCTGCCAATGTGGCGGTTGGGGTCGCCAATTCGCTTGGTGCCGCCCGCCCCGGACATTGCCCTTCACCGCCAGACCATTGTCGCGCGGCCGCGGACCAAAAAAGTATCCCCACCAGCCAGGGTCTCCTGCCAGCAGAGTCTGCGCAACATTGAGCACCTCCGCAGGGAGTAGCGCCGCCTCGGCGGAACCCACCGAGTTCGCCTCCGATACCTCTCCCGCGGAGATACCCGAGGACACGCCCGCCCCCCCCACCACCACCGCGCCGCCAGCCAGGACATCGGCAGTCGTCGAGCTCAGCCCGACCCCCACCTCCGCCCCAGGTCGGACGGTCGGAGAAGCCGCCCCAAGCCCCGTATCAGACACTCAGGCCGGCAGCTTAGCCTCCCCAGCCGCCGAGTCCAGCGTGGCCGGCCCCATCCACATCGGAGGCGACGGGGCCGCCGACGCCCCTTCCAGCAGCAGGGCCACATCTCCCGCGCCCGGCGCCCCCCCCCCCA